CTCTTCATACTCTTGCTGAGCCTCTGTCTAGGCATGCTTCACAAGATCTTCTTGAGCTTGCTCAGGGTCAGTCCAGACATGCTCTTCTCATTGCTGCTCTTGCTGTCAGAGTGCTGCATCATAATTAAATGGGACCTGAAAGTCCCAGTCAGAGAATAGTTCATGGATGATCCTGTCTCATGCTACCAGTTCTTACTTTTCTCAGTTGCCTTGCTCTTCTGGCATCCCCATCCTATGACTACTGTAGTTGGAGTAGACCAAAAGAGCAGGGCTTCCACTCAGAGTTGTGTAGAGTGAGTCATGTCCTGAGTGTGGCAAAACTCCTCAGGATTCTGGAGCCACTCTAGTGGCATCAAGGGAGTCCTGAGCATGGTTTCCAACCCCAGGGATCCTGGTGGCAGTGGATCAGTCAGAGGATGGCAAGTCATTAAAGAAGTCTGCAGGGAGGTCTCTGTCCTCATGGTTAGAGATAGGGGGTGGGATCCATGGATTTTGGAACCCTGTGAGATGAGGGTTGCAGCCTCAGCTGTCTGGTCATCAGGGAGGGTATCTGTGTCTTTCTTCTTCTTGAACATCCTCTTGATGCAGGCTGCTAGGCCTGGCTTTGGGTAAGAGGTGCTCTGGAGGCTGGTGGGATGTTCTTCAAGATTCAGGGATGTCACAGAGTGGGAGGTCAGGGGTTATGTTTCATAGGATGTGGCAGATGTTTTGAAATTCCTGATAGTGTCTAACTGCCCAGGCTGTGATTGATTGGCATCCATGGCACAGCTGTATGATCACCAATAATCCTGACAATGTTCCAATGATGGAGGCAAGAAGTTCAAAGAACTCATGATCAAAGTTGAAGTCTGATGAGTTGATGGATGGCATTCAGTTTCCTTCACACTATAGTGCATGAGGAAAGGGAAGATGAAGCTTCAAGCTAATTGTTAGGCTCAAGCTGCATGTGATCTGGAACACATGATAAACTAGTGTGACTTTGCATTCAAGCCTTCCACTAGAGTCCACTGATGTACTTCTGTGATTAAGGTGCTTCAAGATGCAAGAAGATAGCTCAAGAGTAGAATGAGTATGAATAAACTTTAGCTTGAAGCTGGAGATTACCAGCAAGAGCAAGCTTTCTTATATACTACAGGGTGTCATTGATATAAATACTTCTACCTATTGTGTCTGTCCTTGGTTGTCATGTCCTTTGTCCTTGGGTGTCACTACCATCCATAAAAGAGTAATTGTACATTGTTGAGTGTTGTTGCCATGTCAAAAGACAATAATTGACTGGACTTTGTTGTGATGACTAAGCCAGTCCCATGGTCTTAAGCACTGGTCTAGTGCCCTGACTAAGCATAAATAGGGGTTAATACTGAGAAAAAAAGGGAAAAAATAAGGAAAAATCATAACACCTGAAACTTGTAGCTGGTATCAAACATATTCTTGGTTGGATGAAAAAGCATGCCCTCAGTTCTCAGGACAAGGCATGTTTCTTTTGTCTGAGATGCTCATGCTTCCAGGCCTCTCAAGCTCTGATGAAATCCATGTCCAAATCACAATTGTCGATTGATATGCCCTCATATTGCTTGACTTGTTTTCTTTCAGCAAGTTGTTTATTGATTCTGCACTTTAATCTTCTTCATCCAGGAAACCTGATGACCACTCTTGAACCCACTGACTGCCAACAGTGCCTTGTTCACAATGTCGCAATCATGGATGTTACAGCTGACTCACTGTTCCATCTACAAGAACTGCTTTCATTGGATGGGGACAACTTCTTTTACCTTCAATTTCCCTCTCGACATCCTCATGGTGAAGATGAGGAGGCTCATTGTACCATGTTCCCTATATCAAACTGCTCTGCCACTGGAATTAGTACATGCCTCTGAATCTTTGCCCTATGACAGCTATATCAAGGTTGGTGTGATGTTCCACTTTAATCCAGAGGATCTCAACAAGTCTGTCATTTGGCCATATATGATCCAGGAGGCTCACATCTGCAAGACATTGATGAAGCACCTTCATCAAAATATGGTGCAGTATCACCCTCATCAGAATATGGTGCAGCATTAGGACTATGTTAATAAGGATGGTTTAATGGTCAGGCTCTGTTTCAAGTAGTATGGGCAAGCATCAGATGATGCAGTTGAGAGGGTGTAATTCCAAGATCAGATATCAAATTCTCAATCGATCAGATCAAGAAAGATATCGAGCACATTCATGGTCTTTGCTTAGTACATGGGAGTTTATTTATGAGTGTGGTAATAGGCATATCTCTGATTATCATCCAGAATGATATCAATCCCAGCAACATTCTACTCAATGCCGATAGTACACTGGTCATTATCGACTTTGATTCATGCATTGAATGAGGAAATTGATTGATGGAAAAAGGGGGACATATCTGTTTAGTAATGATACAGAAACAGCAGAATTTGGCAATGACTTATATGAAGTTGAGAAGATATGGGAGTGGATGGAGGAAACTATACCAGGATGCTATATAGGTTTATCATAAACATGACACATATTTCAACATTAAAAACATTGTGACTACATTTCAACTTATTACTTATCCATCTGACATCTTATAGCTTGGCACACACAGGTCACCCACATTTCGACAATTCTGGCTTGTTCTCAAACCTCTTCAGTGATGGAAAGACTGGTGGATTCATGTAGGGATAACACTAGTACTTGCAGTGACACAGCCTACTTTTCCATGAAAGGATGCCAACTACAAGTCCAGGTGAGTCTTGGCATGGTATAAACTTTTACTATTCATTGGGTACAGGGAACTTATGTTCCTGATTTTCTTTGACCTTTTATTGTGGCATATATGTGACCCTGGGGGCTCGGATGCCAGAGGTATCGATCCGGCTATAGCATCTGTATAACATGGGATGTCAAACACTCTTTGGACCAATTATCCCTAGTGAACAGACTCTCACCATGCGCTGCAGTTGACTTAAATGTTATATTGCAGGTCCCAATGATTAATTTGCAGTATCTCATCTTCTTTTGTCTCATTGATCTGGTTGTCTTTTATGAGAGGCCCTAGTTCTGAGGCAGTGACCACCCTGCTCGCTCCACCTATCGTTGGAAGCACATCCCTGCCAAGAAAAGAAAGACCCAAACGGAGGGCTCCTTCTCATCCTCCACTTCATAATGACCCTTTTCCCTTTTACGAACTAAAATGTCTCTGTATTCTTTCCATCATCGCATCCATAGTCATTTTCTTCGCAAATAAACGGCCAGGGTTTTCATTGTCTTGGAAATAGTCGATCCTTTGACTTGGACAAGAATGCCCTTTCTCCGTGCTTCAATGTTAGAATACAACAAATCTAACAGTAAGGTAAATAATCAATATGTAGCAGTATAAGTAAGATATACACCTCAGCCTTCACTCGTTGTAGTGGTAAAAGACTGAGGTGCGAACGAAAAGAAACCGGACGGGAATATGAAATAATCGCACAATTGTTGCGTAAATGAAATTAGAGGGAATGGACCGATATCCCGACGAAAGGGCGTAGGACTGAATCCTCGACATTCAACAAGGTCCAAGCCTGACAATAGTCCCAAATCTGACTCGTTCCAAATTGAGATGCCATCGAATATTTAAGCATCTCTTTGGGAGAGCAAGGTCATTCTTCATTTTGTCTACCTAGTCTCAACCTTCCACTTCATTTACACCTTCTGTCACTCATACATGGTCGTGAGTGGGCGTCATTCTCTGAGGGCTTTATTTGACGAGTTACATCTCTTTTCACGGACCGTCGCTTCCTCCAGCCGCACGTATACCTGGGACAAATGCACCAGAGTATTTACCAAGACGGGCGACTTGAAAAGCCATAAGCCGCTCCATTGGACGAAGGAAGAACAGGAAAAAGTGTATGTCTTATTTCTACCTTCACTGACATGGAAAATTAATTTCTCTGCCAAGAATGTACAAATGCCCCAAGTGTCCGCGAATGATGCTACAGAGATCCGAGTTGCGACACCATATTAACTGAAGTCAGTAAGTCCTTTGTTTAATCTCTACTAGTCACTCAGCATCCTTATCGCTATTTTCTCAGCAGGAAGATAGTCTGCAGCGACGTTAACTGTACTTTCACGACGCTTTCACAACGGCGAAGCCGGCGAATATGAGATGGCACAAAACGAGCCACTGCAATGCACCAGATCCGTGCGTCGAACGCCAGCGCACACCTTGGCAGTGGCACCGTGTTACCCCTACGTATGCTTCCCGCTACTGCCCAGCATAAGCTATCCCCAGTCCCTTCGACGAGCGCTGCTGCTGATGGCTCTCTGTCGGACTCTTGGGGCTTCTCATCCGCTCCCAGTCGTACCGTGCCATCTCCCGACGCCTTCGTATAATCCTACTTCGTGTCCTTCAACTTCTCTGCTCGGACTCCCAGCAGAGTTGTTTATCGTGGGTCCCAGGAAGTATTGGCTGCCTCCGCTAATTCATAACACGTATTAATTAACTCAGCGAGGTCCATCTCCATACCGCGCTGTTTTTGGTATAAGCCAATGGACAGAGGTTCTGACTTTGGAGGAAGGGACATCTCAGAGAAGAATCAGCGGTACCTATATCTCGCTCCAGCAAATGACGTTTTTCATTATCTTTCCTTATTTCTTCTTTGATACTGATCATATGACCCGTGCATGTTTTATTATCCGGTCATGTCACCTGATTTCCCAAATTCTCAAATTTCCCTCCTGTTACCTCCACATTACTATGTCAACGCTTAGCCTTATTTATCATACTTGTTATTCGTGTTATGCAAATAAAGTGTCTTCAAAAGTGCAAAATTGTCGGCGCAGATCAATAACTACTACCAGCTATGGTCGTCTGCCAATCGTGAGAGGTCGGCATCTGATACCGCTTGTTGCCGGACTGTCGGATCAAACGGCCAGCTAGAACTTGGGTGTTTTGTCCCGGGGCGCCTCTCTTTGTGTGGCAACCTTTCCTTGTGATCATTGTCGCTCGTCTGCGATGCTGCTCTCAGTGCCAAACGAAATCCTGAACAGGGTTGCCCTTGAAGTAACAACCACCTTATACTGCCGGAAAGAAACTAACCAGCATGCAGGCAGATAGTCGAACTCGTCGGCACCTTCGAAGGACATGCCAGCTACTCCGCGATGTCGCCACACCTCTCGTCTTTGAATCAGTCTGCGTCGATCTATCTTGGAGGCGACACTCTAGCTCAGCTTCCATCTTTCTTAAATCACTCATTTCGGGTCCGAAATTGGCGCAACACATCATTCGTCTTTCCCTCTATCTGCCCACAAAGCTCCGGCTTTGTCTCTCTTGGTTCGCACTGAGAGAGAGCACACTGCATTCTTTGGATGCCCTCTTCCTTCAAGCTATTCCATTTATGGTTTCGTTGAAATCGTTATTGTGAGTTTTGTAAGATTTTGACGAACTTGACTGATATTGATCACCCATCTCAGTTGGAACAGTAGCAAGAATTCGGGACCGAAATATGCTAAGCTGATGTTTGAACGGTTCGGAAATCTACCCCTCTTGTCCAGGCTGATGATAAACCGTTACGGCCACTGGGACATACCCTTGTCTCCATTTCGTCACATTCGACATATCAGCTATCGGGGCCAAAGAAGCAACGAACTCATTACTTTCCTGGGCTGCAATCCAGACATAGAAAGTATAGATGCTTACGTCTGGAGCCAGAGCATCGACAACGATCAAAGTGGATCAATTTCATGGTTGTTTAGCTCTTTGCCTACGGGAACGTACAGTACGGTGAAGACACTGAAGATAGGCGGTCAAATGCTCTGCGAGTTATACCCATACGAAATCCCAAAATTCATACCTCATTTGCGTCACCTGGAGAGCTTGACTACGCTTATTAACGTACCCGATGTATTGTGGGACGGATTGCAGGAGTATGGAATATGCTTGGTGTCTCTCTCATATCACATGCCCACTTTGGCGTTACTGTCGTATCTCTCGTCCTATACAGGGCTTCGTGAACTCTCACTTAACATATTGGTAGGCCCAACAACGGACAACCTCCATATCGCATCCCTTCTTCCGATCGTTATCTCTTCGAATTCTTCGTCGTTGACGACAGTTCACATTGAGCCCCGCTATAGCGGAGCATGGTGCTTGGACCATCCTATGCTAGATGCCTTGGCTCTTTGCCGCGGTCTGAAATCATTACATGTCTGCGCTGACGAAACGAGAGTTCGAGTAGAAGAAAACAATGCCATTGTGAGTCGCTCACTTCGTCCCAGACATGATCTGTCCGACGGCTAATTGTGTTCGTAGGATAGAATATTACAAGCTTTCATGTCATCCTGGCCGAATCTCTGGGATCTTCAAATAAATGCGGTTTCTCGTTCCTATGGCTATGACGCAGATGACCCAGTGAGAACGACCGCAAGTCAAATCCATAGGCGCATTTTAGCCTTGCATTTCGCGCCGTTACCACCTGAAAGGCCTAGGTTGCATGTATCATCAAACTTCGCCACATATGCTGTGAAAATCCACGATCGAAAAAACAATATTTATACGTTTGAGATGCAGGATTTGGACTATCATGGGGACAAGGAATCGTAGAGGAAATACAAGTTCTGGAAGCGATCTGATGATACCAATGATGGTTCATATTCAATATCTACTCGTTACTCCTTGTTTTTCCATTATTGTCATCACATTAGCCCTTAGTTACATTTCGAAACAGGAAAGTCAAACTTGCTCTCAAACTAACAGTTTGAATGAATGCCGTTACAACTTTCGAAGCTTAGACCCTCACGAATAAGGCAGCAATCTGATCCTCTGGAAAGATGGTCAGCCAATAACTGGGACGTCGATGACCGGCTGTATATTCGACCTCTATCGTTGTGGCGGGCATGTTTGCCTAACTACGTTAACTCGCACAGATTGCCAGTACAAACCTATGTCGCGGATCTATAGTCACAAATAGTACTGGGAGTCCTGTCTTGTCGCGTAAACAAGTCAACCGTCTTATTCCATACAACGGACCATTGCACCATGCTTGCAGCAGCTGTCTCAATTGTCGAAATGCTGGTGAAAAGCAGTATTCCCACTGCTCGGGCAGCTCGACTACATATTACTGCATATATGCAAACCAGTTTTCTTAAGGCTTTCTCTTTTTCTTCTAACTTTATCCAGTAAGCAATGCCAAG